TGATTACTTTTTTATTCTAAATTTATTTATTTTCTCATTTATTTATTTTAGTGACAAATAATATGCAATAAAAATATTTTACCGACTCAATTATTTATAACAAATCGGATCAGATTGTGATCGGATCGGATCGACCTATATCCATATTTGATCCATTTAATTTACGGATTATCAGATTCAGATCTTGATCGGGTTATCGGATTGAGACCCTAAATCCATCTCCCATTAATTTCGTCGGATTCAGATCAAAATCCAATCCATTGACAGCCCTACCATACCCCCGACGGATGCCATTGATGATATCTGCGATTTGTAAATGGTCGTGGGTCCTGAAATTTGTGCATTATATGTCGATCAATAAACCTTGATCGAGCTTTCCTATGATCATTATGACGAATACCCACTTCACAAGTATGTTCATCTGCATACTTGCGAACTACAAAGAACTCATTCGTATCCATTTTCGTCACTCTCAAACACCAATTGCAATTGTTGTCCACACAAATAATTGTGTATGTAGACTTGTTTGATTTTTTTTACTTTAAACTCAAAGTTATGTTTCATTGCAATTCGGTGTACAACTTCCTGCAAATATTTCTTCATGTCAAATAGTTGATTAACATGTAAATCTTCATCATCGGTAACCACACGCGAACAATTAGAAAACCGTGTACTTGGCCCAGCCGTGAACTCCTATCACAATAATGTCTCTTTCTGGATAGGACAATCAAATCCTAATTTGTAAATTGCTTTTCATCCTCGTTGTCTTAAACTTCCTCGTGAATTCTGTACGTAACAGTGAGATCACGTGAATGGCAACTGTCTCGAGAATAGCCACATCATCCTCACGAGCTATATTCACTATATCCCAAAAATCATTTACATTACGATCTCCTCCATTGGGATATTCATGTTCACTATCAGGGACATTCTTTCTCAATAAAGTTACGCAAACAGGAGTCGACTTGCTGCCTTGGTTCAATTTAATTAGAAATTTCATTTGCACTTCAGAAGTAACTTTCACATGTGGAAATCAGAATGGTTAAATGCTTGTAAAATAAAAATATCAATTTCATATCGTACTGAGAGAGATTGACGTTGAATGGTACATTTTTATAAATGTGTTGCCTGGTTGATTTTTGGCCAAGAGCATGTTACTTGGTCTATTTTTGGCCAAGTAGCTAGAGTAATGTTGCTGTCATGAGCTCGAGTATGTTAATTTGCCTATTTTTGGCCAAGTAGCTCGAGCAATGTTGTTGCCATAAGCTCAAGCGTGTTACTTGGTCTATTTTTGGCCAAGTAGCTCGAGTCATGTTGCTACAATAAGCTTGAGCGTGTTACTTGATCTATTTTTGGCCAAGTAGCTCAAGCCATGTTGCTGCCATAAGCTCGAGCGCGTTACTTTGTCTATTTATGGCCAAGTAGCTGGAGCCATGTGATTATAATGA